ACGCCATTCCGGAGTGGAAAAAGTTGTTGAAAAAGAAAGAAGACGTTATCACAGCGTCTCCTAAATATATAAAGTAATAATACAAACAAATGTCATTTTCAAGTCATATTTTATTGGCAATAAATATTATCGTAATTAAAGGAAATGTAGATACAATTGGATGACAATGATTAGTAACTATTTGATTAAATTTTAAACTCAAATATTGTGTCTTTGCATAAAATATGGCAAACATCTATAGAGAAGACTGCTATTAGTTTTTAAAACCAAATGTTACTCATCTGATTCAGATGTTTCTAGTTGTATATGTTTACTGTATATCTCAATAGAGATCAATATATTATAACCATTTAAATGTAGTGATTATATAGAGAATTAGTGCCATTGTGTTGTAATTACAAGAATATACCGAAAATATATATACAGTTATAAATATATATATATATTTTATATATAAATATATTTTGTTTTTAACTTTTTCTGACCCCAGAGTCAAGACGTGCTCTAATGGATTGAAATCAGAGGACATCTCAACGCAAAAGGAAATGAAAATCAACTCAAAACCAAACACTGAATCGCATAATNACAGTTGTAGACATTATTATCAGTACTGTATAGTCTCATAGATTGTTATGTTTCATGTAATTGTACTTTTATTGATAATCCTAATACTCATAAATTAATTATACAATATATAGTATAATATAAGATTTACCGTAATAAAACTTTATATACTACTATACGTTTATAAAACTTTCTTTAACATTAAATTTAATAGAATTATGAATTAATTTTATAGTTAATAATAAGATTCAATAGAAATTTCACTTTAACATTGAAATTTTTAAATATATTACAAACTCACGAATAATTTCATAAATAGATTAAAAATATGGAAATCAAAGTTTAATCGTTGGGAACAAAACACCAGTAGACTATGCCATATGATATAATGATATAATTTTAAAGAGATTAATCTGAATACCCATAGAAACCATTGATTTAACTCATAAATCTTCGAAGTGTTCTCTGTATAAGAATTCATTGGATATTATCTTAAAATTTAGCAAAAAGAAAATTAATACTAATTGTATAAAATTAATTGTCATTTCAATAGTGTCTAAGTCTATTGATATCACACGCATCTGATCCCCGGAATGAGAGCGACATTAATTCAAGTCATAGTCAAAGTTTCTCGACGACATCTAATTTAACTACAAATTCTTCACATCTGAATCGATCGCAATATAAACGGTGCACTTGTCATACACCCGCCTCTAAGAGAACTACACCTAAAAGTGTAAGTTTGGTAACTTTTAATGATGACAATGTATTTATAATTTTCTATTAAATGAATTGAAATGCAAGGAAACGGATCCCATTCCCACATATTCTGGAGTTCCTAAGAAGAAAGAGGTTTGTGTTTGTAATTCGTGGTCGAGTGACGAATACCAGTCGGAAGCGACCAATACGTCCAGACATCACAAAGCGAACCGCAATAGGAATGAACCGTACGATGCGTTGAGTACCGGGAGATCACTATACCATCAGCCGAGAAGACGCGCCGACACTAAAAATTATTGTCCGAAAGGACTGTCAGATACTGAGAGCATATCAAATGAGAGACAACTGAAGAGTCCGGCGTCTAATCATAAGCGCTCCCACAGTAATAGTAGTCAACGAACAGTCGATAGTGGAAAGGACTCTGCGGTGAACAGCCCATCCCTGTCCAGTTCCTGCTGTACTGAACCCTTCTTCCTACACGAACCGCATATGACTTCAAACGATAGGGTAAAGCAGTTGTTTGAAAAAGAGAAGAGAAATGGAGCTCTCGTTTCGAGGATTAAAGAGGAATATGTTCTCAATTCCAAGAATAACAAGCATTTGGGTATATATTAGTTGTTTTGTAAACTGTGATCCAAATCATTAAAACTATTGTTTCTCTTTGTGTTTAACTTAAGTGACGGCAGAAATACACCAAATATCTGATGATTGTATGAGTCTTTCGGAGTCTAGTGATCCGATCCCTGACTATGACGTCGATGAACCCCAGAGTAAGACATTGACGATGGGTTCAGACGATACGGTCAGTCCAAACGGACATGGATTTGGAGTGTCGTCCATATCGTCGTCAGAGGTCTGCAGCACCAGTACTGATGAGGGTATATATCAAGAGGTTGAGGACGAGTTGACTGAGGATGAGAGCTCAGGTCGACTCAATTGTAGGCCATTGGGATTGAATGAGAATAACGACCACCAAAGCAAACCCATACCCGTGCCGTCGATAGGCTGTGCCAATAATGAACTGAAGCGTCAAAAAAGTGCTGTTCTTTGCAGTGAAGAAGTCAAAGAAGAAAAGAGAGACAACTCGAGCGAAACGTTATGTGAAACGAATAAGTCGTTAGAAAATAAACGATTAATTAATGAAACAGTTTCTCATAAAAGCAAAACAGATTTAGACCACAATTCACAGCCAAATGACAACAATATAGTCCCTCAGGGCCTACCGCCTCCACCTCCGCCGCCACCCCCACCGCCACCCATTGCCACGCCATACGTGTCTGCAAATGAAGACTCAGATAAGAAATCCGAGAGAACGACCCGATACGAGAAGTTTTCGGGTAAAAAGTCTAAACTACCGGCGCTTCCATTCATTCCGCCGCAGTTCGCGTCGCCTCCAGACAGTGACATAAATATCCGTCCGTCGGAGTACTTGAAACACGTGGCCAACAGGACAGTGTCGGCCTTTCCTGTTCCCAAATACGGGTATTTGAATCAACAAAACAAATACTACGGAACTGAACGCAAAATACAAAGAAGTGTTTCCGAGAATCACTTGTATGTCAATAACGATTACGAGAGTATTAAAGGAATTTCGGACAACAGTGACAATGAAGACGATGATGACATCAAATCGACGACAACTGATATCTATGGATCAGATTCTAATGTCAGCGAAACTAAATCAGTGGCTAAGAGTGAACCGACGACCTTCTCGGCGAAGAGTACGTTGTCGTCTGCGGTGTCGACCATATCTTCGGTTACATTCAGTGTCACCAAAGAAGAGCTCCAAAAAGTGTCGCTCAAGAAGACGGAGAAGCCATCGAACGAGAGGGCAGTCCTTCTCAGGAAAAATGATTTAATAGAAGAACTGAAGGCAACCAAAGATTTGGACGGAATTAAGAAAGTGAAGGAACAGAAGAAGAATAAAAATGAGGTATAATTTGATGAATTATTTTGTGGCCATAATTGACAACTGATTACATGCTATATTTGAATTCAGGTGAAGGAGAAGATGGCAGAAATTGCTGGCAATTATATGACAGAGAATTTTATCGCTAAGATCCCAGAAACGGACGCAAAGGGGGCACCAATTCCTCAGTGGAAGCGGCAAATGTTAGCCAAAAAAGCGGCCGAAAAGGCAAAGAAAGAGGCAGAGGAAGAGGTGGTGCGAGAGGTGGAAGAGAAGAGAGTGAACGCCATTCCGGAGTGGAAAAAGTTGTTGAAAAAGAAAGAAGACGTTATCACAGCGTCTCCTAAATATATAAAGTAATAATACAAACAAATGTCATTTTCAAGTCATATTTTATTGGCAATAAATAT